ACACTTGATGGTCTTTAACACTATTACTTCATTGGCTTTTTATTTAAAGAAAGGGAAGAGAAGTTTCACATGCCTTAATTTAGCCTGTTATAAAGAGTATGTAGGTAGTACCTGTGAAAGTACCTAGCTCTAGAGAGGTATGTTGGTGAGCATAAGTGACAGGGACAATGCCTATATTAAAATGAATGATTTATGATACCAGCAGGATGGCACTTTCCAAGAGGTTGTGGTTATGTTACAGATCAGGAACAGCCTAAAATTAGGACCCTGATCATGCAAGCATCTTTGTGGCTAAGAGAACCCCTACGAGACACACTGTAATGTGCATGAGGGCTTGTAGGGTCTGTGCCTCAGTTTCCCTCAGTGATAATATGTAGAGTTTGTCTCTTGGCTTATTTTTGTGAAATAATAAAAGTAGCCAGATTAGAAAAGATTCTAGCATCCTGTTGCTAGTCATTTAGTGCCCACTGATGTACTGAATGCATTAGTCCATAGGTACCTTTAAATTTTAACCTCAAGTCACTTTCAATAATCTCTTTAGTTTTTTTCTCTTATCTGGATTCACTTTATTTTAATGTAGCAATGAATTGAGGACTTCTTCCAGTGTATTTTTGAAACTACAAAATGAAATCTCCCAAATGCCTAAGATTAATATAATATTGTGGGAGGTCAAAAATATTATTCAGTGAAAGAAATATACTGAATGTAAAAAGCCAGTAGGGAAAACTTGGATGTTGCAAGTGAAAGCATCGTGACTGATTGCAGTACATCCTGCATGACTTACTAATGACTAGGCCATTAAGTTTAACATGTTAATGAAACTGAAGGATTGAGAAGGCCATAATGAAATACAGGCTAAATTCTCTCACGCTAAAACTTGTCAAACCTAAAGGCAGTGTATGTCCAGTACCAGAGCAACCTGACTTCTGCAAATAAAGATGGCAGAACAGGATTCTATAAAAATAATGACCATGTTCCAAGAAAATTCCTAAATGATACTAAAATCATGGACGTGCGATGCAGTATTTCTACAAATCACATCCCTTAGATGTCAGTGCCAATGAACTCTAAAATCATTCTCAAAAATTCTGTCTATATATGTGTCGTGATTTTGCTTCAAACTGGGACAATGTTTTCTGAAATCTAAGCCTGACTCTGACACACATAGTGAACCTTGGTGATTTCCATGGATGCTCTACACTCAGCTGACTCATGGCAGCCCGGTGAGCTCATCCCATTCATGGGCTAAATCCCTTTCAGTAGCGGCGTGGCAAAAACCTTCACCAGTGGACACTTCGCCACAGACTGAAACTCCCACAGCACTCACGCAGCAGTTAAACAAGAGGAAACACAGGTTTAGAAAACAATTTTATTAGACAAATTATTTAGACAAATTATACACAGAAAGCTCTGCCACTTGTAACTGAGGCCTTCAAAAAGTGTTTTGTATATCTGTATAATAGGCAACACATCAAAATAGGCCTATTTTAAATATTGTACATGGTTAACAGGTTTTTTTAATAGCTAAAATCACTGCAACATCTGGTATGTCCCTACATAGCTTGTTTGAAAGAAATTTTCTTTTTTTTTTTTATTTTTTATTTTACTCAGAAGTGTGGATGAGTTCATGAATGTTACAAGAAGGAAGCAAGTTGTGCATGCTTTTAGACACTTGCTACCCTGGAAACAAAATGGCCTTTTGCACGATAAGAATTTGTTCTGCCTTACACAGTAGACAATATTTGAAGATTTAGTACAAAAAACAGTGACAGTACAAGATGCTCCCCCAGAACAGAATTAGCATCAAAATAGAATAGATCTGAAGAATATACCTTTTAATTTATCCTAAAGCAAATCACATAGGCTGATTCCTATTAATCCTAGCCAAAGAATGAGTTAGGTTAAAATAAGTGTATGGTTGCATTAAAAACAAAACCAAACCAAAAAACTCACAAGATAAACTGCTTGCTTTCTACTTAACCGCATTTTTAGTTTTAAGGATTACAAATTGAAAGCTCTTCCTACGTTTCTAACAGGTAACAGTGTTACTTTAAAAAGCTGGTGCCAAAGTGGGCACTGGTTTTGCTCTCACTGCTGTTCTTTCTCTTGTTCTATACAGTTGGCACTAATGTAAAAAATGCATAGCTCCTCTAAATCTAACTTAACATATAAAGGGTTAAAATGAGTGTCTGTTCATTTTTTTTTTCCTTAGAATAACACATGATCATAATTAAGGCCACATCCGTATTTCTCGAGGGCTTTTTTTTTCCTCTACTAACACCATTATTGTATTGATCAACTGTACTGATTTGGAAAATAATTTATTGACCTTTGATCTATGTTTAAACTTCTCTAGAGCTATATTAGTTGTTCATGAACGTGGTATACCTAAGAGAGAGTTCCATTTGTCTAATTAATTAAAAGTAAAATTATCAAGGTTAGCCTTATAGAATGCTCAATAGCCAATGCAAAACCTAACCAAAGGAGTTACATCTAGGTACAAACATTAAATTGCCCCGGATGTTCTAATAAAAAAGTATAAAATATGCTCTGTTGGCAAACGATGCAAGTCAGAATAACATTAAAGCAACCTGTCTTTTCTAAATGAAAAGACCCCCTGCACTGTACATCTTTCCTGTATACAACACATTTTTACTAAAGCTTTATTAAATGAATTGCAATAGCAACGGCTGCCATTTTATAGCTATATATACATGTATATATATATACATATGTGTGTGTATATATGTATATATATATGTATGAGATACTAATTTATTTAACACAACAGAGGCTCCTGCCATATGATACAGTTTACTGTACATAAGAAAAACTTTTAACACTGTACAATCACATAAAGGTCATATGCACTGTTGCAGTGCAAAAGTAGATTTAACTGTAGTCTTTACTGGCATAGTAATGGCTTTTTGTAATCCTACAAAATTGCATTCTTGTATTACGGGGCCTGAATGATCTTTAAACTTCACTTGTTTTGCTTTCATTTTTTTTTCATTTTTTTCATTTTTGCCTTTTTTTTTTTAATTTTAAAGTTTTTTAGACTGCAGGGTTTGCCTTTGGTCCACAGTTAAAAGGACACAGCAGTGGAGCACTGACTGGATGCAGCAGAATACATGAAAAGGATTTAAGTTATTGCAATTATAGTAAAAAAAGGCGGTGTGCGAGGAGGAGCAAATGCCCTTCTGTAAAGTAATCCTCAGGGTTTTTCTATGCGTGAATTGCTGCACGTTTCCTATATTTAAAGTATATGAAAAGCCTCAAGTAACCAAGACCTAACATGGTGATAAACCAAGAATAAGTGATTCAAGTAGTAAAGAGAATAAGGGGAGACAGAGGAGACCAGACTGAGAAAGCAGAGAAGAGGAGGAGGAAGAGTTGTTACTAATAATCCTGATTCTTGAATAAAATTAAAAAAAAGGACAAAAAATCCAAACAGAAAATAACTCCCAAACAAACTAAAACAAACCTCAAAACCAAAAGATAAGGAAAAGAAAAGAGGTTACATCCATGTTAGTCCCACAATATTACAGCTGCTCCTTGCAAAGGGAGTCCTAAAAAAGAATCAGTGAAGAAACTTGGTCTGATGCTCAGATAGAGGTGCCTCGGTCTGGGTCGCTACCGATATTCAGCCCCAGAGTAGGAGTTGGTTGGTAAGGGATAGATGACATTGTTTTGATGGGGCTTCTGAAAAAGCCACCGTTGGGTGCCCTGTGCCTGAAAGGGCCAGTTCGGTGGTCGGGCACGCTGCCAAAGGAGAAACCTGAAGCGGCTTTAGCAGACAGCGTGCGGCTCAGAGTCTGGATCTGTTCTGGTATGAAGGTGGTTGTGGTGATGTGAGTGTTTCTGAAGTCACTGATTTGCTCCAGTGCCTGACGTGTGGGTAAAGTGTCAATGTCCAGCGGGGTCAAGTCAATCGAAGAGGTGGAGAACTGTTTATGGGGACTGTCGTCGTCTGTGCAGAGGCTATTCACGCGCCTGTGGAGGTGCTCCAGGTCGATCTCCTTGTCATCCTGGGGAAGGAGAAAAACAAGAGGCACTGCTCACCATCGCTCTTTGTGCTGTGTTGAAGCTTCACAGTGCGATCAGGACTGCTCGGGAAGCACAACGCACAATTAACTACATCTGGCTGTTGGCTGATGGCACTTCTGAGTGTCACCAGCAAACACCCACCTCGCCTGAAGCTTGGTGGGGCAAGCCAAATGGAGGCAGACCCTTACACCACAGCTACCCTCAAACCCTGAATCCCAACAACAAATCTCCAAGTGCTACCGGTTGGTTTTTGTCAGGAAAAGCCAGGCTCGGAGCTAGGTGTGTTGGACTAGCAACAGCTGAATAGCAGTAAATTTTGTGCCATGAAAGCAAAGCATCATCTCAAATGCCTGGGATGTTGCCAGTTCTTCAACTCTGCAATGAGGACTGAGTTTGAATGTCAACATGGGAGGCTCTGAGGGATCAGGCTGCCGTCTATGTCATCCTCTCAGGGCTTAGGAAGGGCTAAAAACATCTCAGGTAGCTTTTTACTTTTATAATATAAATTCTGGCATAGAAAAGATGAACTTCCAGACAAAAATCCAAGCACTGGTGACTCGCTGACATCACACAGAAAGGAGTGCACTGGGCAATTTCAAATTACAATGCCAAAAGAGGGATTCATTCTCCCCTTACCTACAAAGAAGCAATTCCATTGGTTCTGATGGAATTACACTCTTGTGGGTGAGAAGAGACAGGTGGCCTGGGGTATCTATTATAATACATCATCCCTCCTCTTACCTCTGTCCCTTTTCCTTCTTAAATCTCTCCTCCCAAAGAACTCAGTTAAGCAGGTTTGTTTGTTATAATCACAAATTTAAATGCACAGAAGTTAAAAAAAAAGAGGAGAAAGGCCTGGGTGACACAATAAATCACCTGTATTGTACATAGATATTTCTACTGAACTGCAAAGCTTAATTCAAAGCAACATTAAATATACACGTACAGGGGTATTCCCTCAGTCTGGGTAGTGCAGCTCATTCAGAATAAAAATTGATTTCAACTAACCTTAAAATTTACCTTAATCTCTGTGAAATCTACTGGCTCTTCCAGGCCACTAGAAATATCTCACACTCTAGGACCTCACAGAGGATAATTAGGCAGCCGATAGATGTGCACTGATGACTTCCAGCCTTGATTACTGCAATTCAATGACTGGCTTGATCCAGAGCTCCCTGAATCAATGGCAAAACTCCTAGTATACCGAATGGGCTTGAGATCCCTCCTTTGTCTAGGAATGAAGTCAAGCACTCTGAAAAAGTCCACACCTAGAACAAACTGCAGGAGTTCATCTACTTAGCAAAACGGATCACCAAATATTTGCACTGGTACCACGCCGAACACAGAGCCTGACTGGAAGGAGGCTGAGAGGCCAGCTCCCCTCCAGGATTGTACCCTCCGAGGGCAGGGACAGGGGGACAAACCGGGGGGAAAGGGGCACGGAACAGGGCATCAGGGATCTCCCAGGAACTGGACGATCGCTGGCCACAGAGGCTTTGGTTCGGGCTCGTCACGGGAGGGAAAAAATGCAGTGCTCATTTCTCGGACTTAGCTTTCTGTCTAGAGTTTATTCACACGTGGACATAGACATGGATGCACATAACAACCACACAGGTGACACCAAAACCAAACGCATTCACCAAACGCTCTCTCCTAGAAACTTTGGAGCTGCATATGGATGCAGGAGAACTGGGGCCACATCGGAAGCTAAAGAAATAAACAGAGGCTCTATTAGTGTGTGCAAGTCATGACTATGTCTCTGAGGGACAGTCCTAAATATTTTTCCTTTTTTTTTTTTTGTTATTTTGTTTTGTGTTTTTTGTTTGTTTGTTTTAAATTTTGAAAAAAACATACAAACACCTTGTAATTTAAAATGCCAATCGAGAAAGGATTGGAATTTCGTCACTTCTGAGCCTCTATAAGTTACTCAAAATACTCCTCTTTCTTCTCTTACAGAGATGCATTTGGGGCTAGGGTCAGACCAGTGAAAATATAGAAGTGGTGATATTCTCCCATGCTTAGCCCACAACCCGATCTCCACCCAATCGATACACCAAAATGAGACCCACTCACAGTAAGATTGTGCATATCTCCATAATATGATCTTTCCTCTTCTCTCTTGTGTGATCAGTAGTGAAATATTCAGCAGTTTTCACATTTAAATTATCATCAGGCTTCAGAGTCAACATCCCATTGAGATTACTGGGGCGGTTCATACTTCTCTCAGAGCTACCGTTTAAGGCTGTCTGCAGACTCAGGCAGACATCATTGAATGGATAACTTCTGGTACGCGACTGAAATGTTATCTTCGCAACCATAAGACAATTTTTTTTCAGTATAAATGCTTGCATTCTGGAGCACAAGATGGCAGCCACCAGGAAAAAGGGTTGGCTTGCTGACCACAAACTGGCCCAATCTGACCCCCGACTCTGGACTAGTGGCCTGGAAGAGCCAATGGATTTCATGGAAGCTAAAATGAATTTTAAGAAAGTTAGTTAAGATGTATTTCTTTGCTGAATGACCCTCACATCCAGAATAGCGGGGACATTCAGCACATACGTCCACGACAAACTCAATTTTGAGCCAAGCTTTTCAATTTAGTGTTGAGATGCAATTTTTAATGCTAAGCTAATGACCACGTAACAAAGATCAAGGAGGCCAAATTATACCATTTGTGGAAAGTATACACACAAATTTCTCTGCATTTGAAAATTGAAATCGGAAATTTTGTAGTTATATATAAAAAAAAATCCATGTTATTTTTTTCTTTTAATTTGTTATTTATTTTTATGTTTTGCACCAGATAAATATGAAGGATGAAGTTCTAAAAGTTTGGGTAAACAATAATCAAGTAAATTTTAGTTTTTTAAAATAATTTACCCAGTGAAACTATATGGTTTCCATTCCTGAGAAAACCAATTTAAAGACTAGAGATTCTTTTTTTTCTTTTAATAATGGTCCGGTCCAGATCTTGAACAAAAAAAAAAAAAGCTTGGGAATGAAAACAAGCAAGAAAAGATTAAATGTATTCTAACATCAGAGCCAATGCTGTCTAATTAGGTAGTGTAATTAATCCTGCCTGATTACACAGCATTAGATTAGCAGAAATAAACACAATGGAGAAACTGCAGAGAAGGTGAGACCACTGCACACAAATTAACAGCAATACCCCACAAGCTACACAGATGTGTCTAAGCTACACAGACAGAAAAGCTATAATTGATAGCGCTACATTAAAGCTCATATTTAGGTTCAGCTTTGGGCATCGCTGCCAAATACATTTTAATAAATTTTTTGTTTTGTTTTGTTTTTCTAGTATATTGTAGAGCTAAAGAATTAATTATGAAGGTAAGAAATTTGTTACAGGACCGCATACAGCTCAGATGGCTGGTAGAGGGACAGGTGGATTGCCATGGAAAGAGACGCATTACACAGGCAGGTGTAGAAGCAAACACCTGCTTTGCAAACAAGTCTATAGTAGATATTGGAAATAAGTCTGTAGTAGATTTTGGAAATAAGTCTGGCCTGAATCTGAAAGATCTAATGTAATTCCCTGGACTTTAGATTAAACAAAAAGAACCAAAGTTCACGGACGTCTCAAGAGGTCAACGTTTCTGAAAACGGGAACAAGCTTATTTAAGAAGCTAACCATTGATTAAGGGGCTAAAGTTTGCAAATCTATTTTGAACGACTCAGCCACTGAGCTTAGGGGATATATTTTTCAAGAAGCAGCCAAGAAACCTTTGAACTTACTGGTGAGAATTAGCTCTCACCAGTGGGAATAATGAACTAAATATTGATGTATTAATAATGTACTATTCTACAAGTAACAGTTGTGGTTTACTCAGAATAGTTGCATATCTATACATCATCAATATACTGGTTTTTTTTCATTCAAACTTTTCTAGAGATAATAGATAAGGAGATTTTTTGAGGAACAACATTTACCTTAAAAAAAATCAGCAAGCTAAGGAAACTTTTCTGAATTTGATTCCCCACCCTCTCTAATCTTATAAGGTCAAGGCAGCAATCTTTAGGGTGCTTGAAAATTCCCCAGGAGAAATGGAGGGTCTAATACCTCTTTTGATGGAACCCGGGAGCCTTTCCTTTTATTCCACCACGTTTCCAACATTGCAATGAAACAGGATAGGACAATCCCAGCAGCGAGGATGCAGAAAACACCTGCAAAACTTTTTATGTCCAGGGCACCTCCTTTCTGTTTGGTATCCACAGATGAGTATAGATCACATTGACCATTCTTCGGCCACCACTTATGCTTCAGTATGTCCATGTCGCCATTCTGCTGCAGCTCCAAAATCCTTGAGGAGAAAGCAGAGAGTCAGGGGTTACAGTGGGGCAGTGGAGGTGGCACCTGAGAGCATGAGGCTGTAATCTGACTGTTTGCAACCTTCCCATGTGTCTCGGAAAGCCAAGCAGCTCGAGTCCAGATTTAGCCAGAAAAGAAAGCCAGAATAGGGGGTTGCCTGTAAGACCCAGCATGTCCTCAGTCTATGCTCCACTCGAGATACAGGAAAGCACACACAAGTCTCTCTTTCCTTCTTTTAAGACCCTTAATGAAAATACTTTACTTTCAAATATTTTCTTAAAAGTGTATTAGGTATATAGTAAATACAGTATTTTCTTAACTGTTTTCTCTACAGACTATGTCAATTGACTTTTGTAGTGCATTAGGTATTTGACTATATATATTTTGCATATTAATAAAAAAAAAAAGAAAGTACAGCTCAGTTGTACCACAGAATACACATTACCTTACTGTAAGCTGATCTTTATCAGTTTACCTAGTCGCTGCTTTGGAGAGAGAGCAGAACTGTACTAGTTACAGTCAGTAAAGTCCTAAACTAGTCTTGCTCAATGGGAGTGTGTGACCTGCTGGTAAACATTTTCCGTAGGAAGGTTCTTTGCTGCAGAACTCACTTGTCCATGAACTTATGTACCCAGACCACTGCTAAAGATTTACCAGGCAGCTCGCAAGGCCAGCATATTTAGCTAGATTTCCTAAGGGATAAACGTTTTGAGAAATGAGAATTTTGTTTGGCAGAAGATTTTCATATATAGTTAATTTATTTCTGAGGAGAGTGTTTTTTTTTTTTTTTTTTTTTAAACCATCCAGAAGTAACCAGAATAGCAGCTGGGTGCATCTGGTTACCCAAAATAAAAAATTCAATGATTACACTTTAAAATAATAAATGTAATACATTTGTTTTTCATTTCAGTGCTGGAAGGCAAGCAATTACTTGTGCAATCATTTGACACAGCATGCAAAAAAACAGAAGTGCACACAAACCAGTAGAGGTCTGGGATGTTGCTATCAGAGGCTGTACTGCATTGAAGGGGGAAGAAAAGCTGTCCCACTGACTCAGAGCTGCCATAATAACTACATGCAGTGGTCTACCGCATCCTTGGGAAAAATACAGTATTATGAGAGGAAGTTCAAGTATACCTCAGAAGCATAGGGCAACTGCTCTATACAGCTAAGGGAGCTGGGGTTATTTAGCCTGGAGAATAGGAGAAGTCTCTTCTTCCCAGTCCAAAGTGATAGGACAAGAGAAAATGCTCTCAAGTTGCACCAGGGAAGGTTTAGATTGGATATTAGGAAAAATTTCTTCACTGAAGGGATTATCGAACAGGCTTCCCAGGGAAGTGGTGGAATCACAATCCCTGGAGGTATTTAAAAGATGGGTAGATGTCGTGATTATGGACATGGTTTAGTGCTGGCTTTGACAGTGTTAGGTTAATAGTTGGACTCGATCTTGGAGGTCCCTTCCAACCTAGACAATCCTATGATCTCTAATGCCACATGAACACGTAGTCATGTCAATGAAGCCACTAAATTTTATATGGCACATCCAAACAATCCTATACTTGCAGCCCTACCAGGAATAGGAGACTTCAGGCAGCCATCAGTGGCTTAAACACCAGCACAGCTCTGGAGTGAGTTTCTGCTTCCTACCTGGTAGTACATCCCGTGGCTGAGATCCTGACCTGTTCAGAAGGTAACTGCTTGTCCACCTCTGTGCTGTACCAAGGGAACAGCACCCTTGAGGAACAGACTAGAGGTGATACATGTACATTTGGAGATCCCAGGATCACCTTGTTTACATAGCTTTGTGTTTATAAGAATTGGTACTAATTCTGTGCAATGCCTGCTGACAGCGCATCACTGAAGGTCTAGCCCTGGAGAATGGTGAACAAGGTCAGAGTTGCCTGGGCCATATTTTGAATTTTCCCAAACCGAATGCCACCTTAGAGAAGCCCCATCCCAAAGCTTCCTGAGGAGGCAGGGATAAGATAAATATGGGAGTAGTCTCTGTTCTGTTGCAAGAGACAGAATAGCTGTTATGAGATATCCATGTTCAGAGGAGCTTTGGAGGCACAAGGATCATACGTGCTATTGCTGTCATTGCTGCCTACAGCTGCCTACTGGGAGCACGTAGAGAAGCTGGAGTCAGACCCAGTCACAGGGAGAGATGCAACTAGGACAAACAGGAACATGAGCAATTCCGACTAGATAAAAGGAAAATGGGAGTGGTCAAACACTAGAACAAAGACTTTGCATCATCTCCATCCCTGGCAATACTCAAAGGCCCACTGGACAAGGCCCAGAGCAACCTGACCTGACTGAACCTTCTTTGAGCAGAGGGCTGGAGACCTCTGGAGGTCTTTTCCCACCATAATTACAGCTTTGATACTGCAAACACAGTCCATGTGCTACTCTCTATCACGGCATACAGTGCTTACAGATATGTCACCCTAATTCTGGTTCTTGCTGGCCTGGGATTCTGCATTAGGACTTACGTGAGGCTTTTGGCTCAAATATTCCAGTCTGTCAGGTTAGCAGGAGCAGCAGATAGTCAGCCTAAACAGAACCCTTTTGTATAGGTTCTCGTGGAGTAATAGAAGATTAATTTTCAATGCCCCACCCAAATTGGCAGATGTGTTGTTATATTTAGGAATTACTGTACTATCTACATAAGGCAGTAACAGAACAACATTGCAGGGCTTATTTCTTCTAGCAGCAGCTCTAATCCCTGAGTAGGGCTATTTTCTCTCTTTTATTCAGTCAGTAATAGAATGAACCATCCAAATGATTGCTCTATCCTCATTAATTAAATGATTCTTCACTTGTCAGTGTAATTCCTGATTACACAAGACATCTTTTCAACAATAGGCATTTGCATAAAGACACTGAACTTTAGCTTGTTCCTTAACAGAGATTTATTCCTAATTGTACTGCTGCTAATTATTGGCAATTTTCTTTATGGATGTAACATATAAGTTCAATTATTTAAAGGAAAACATAAGAAAAAAGCAGAAACCCGGGATAGTAATTGCATCATTACATGGAAAAGCTTGAGAAATTGAAAGCTTATAATGAAGCCTTGTAAAACTGCAGCTGAAAACAGATGTTGAAAGATAAAACACGTATCAAGAGAAATTATAAGAGCATAAATATCTATCTATATTAACTTCATACAAAGAAAAAGGGAGATCCTGCTTCTATTAGACTTAGAAAATGCTTTGTTTCTGAATTCATCTGTTTGTGGAACCAAAGTAGTAGTTAGCATACGGAAAAGATTTAACACTACCAACCTGTGCCTAGTTATGAAAATTCCTATTTTTGTAGCACATTTTCAGAAAGGAAAATTGTACTTTGATTGAAATTCCATGACAAACATGATGAGGAAGGGAGGTTTCCTGCAAGTGTGCACAGCGCGTGGGCAGTGCTATAGACTTGTGTGCCGCAGGAGCTTCCCACACGATGGCACTCTTTCCATAAAAATACCTGCTTTTGGTGCAGTTCCTGCTGGGTGCCCTTACCCAATCTAATCATACCTGTTGGGTGGCAGATACTACAATCAGTTTGATATTTGATTTTCAAATTTAATAAATTACTAAAGTAATAATGCATTAACTAAACGCTCTGAATGATAATGATGCACCAACTGCTATAATTCCAGCAAGTGCCTTTTCTCACAAGTCCCAGATTTTTGCAACTGAACTTTTTCTGAACAGTCTGGGCTCCTTTGAGCCTGCTGTATTGGCACGGAGCAGTATTGCAACACGTAAGCCAGTAGTAAGAGTGGTGGCAAGTAGGGTGCATGAGCTCCTGCTGTTTTGAAATACCATAGCCTTAAAAAGCTTACAAAATATTGAAACACATACTGAAATAATCTGATTTGTTTGAAAAACATGACCTTTAAAACTTGCTTATGGATAGAGTATGGGTCTTAATAAATTCTTCTCTAGCAGGCAAACTGTTACAGTACCATTTTTCAAGGCAGTGACCTGAAGTTAAAGCTGCACAAAAGCAGATGTCTGCATGTATGTTAACTAAATTGGCCCTGAATTCACAGTGCCTAGTGATTTCTAGTGGATAAAAACACAGAAAACTAAACTGCCTGTGGTTTCCAAATCTGACAGTGATGTGAACAAATCCTGCTGGATCAATAGGAATAGGGCTGGATTCAACTCGGAAACTACATACTTTGCTGCTGGCTGTGAAAAGTAATTACTCCTGCAAAATACCCACAGATAAAACACCCCAACTTATTATGATAGCAAGGTGTCACAAATGTTACAAAACTGAGACATCTGTGACAACACTGCTTTTGTGGTATCAGCAGCAAGTAAGAGACACGACAGGGGGTTTACAATGAGACCAGAAATGCCAATGCATGGTCCGAGATGTCAAAGGTTACTGTCTATCAGCTTCCTGCGCCAGGAAGGTGTTATCCAGAGGGATAATTTCACCATTGGCACTGACAAGGAATAGGATGAGGTGCTAATCTGACTCTAAGTCTCCAGGGTTAGGCTGCTGCAGAGAGGAGGTGCGCACGGCTGTGCAACAAGGGCCCACTGTCAAAAGCCGGAAAAAAAAATAATTTTTTTCTTTTTTTAAAAAAAGCTATTTGTGTACCTCAGCAGGCTGTGCCTGTGGGGTCCTGAACCAAGGTCCCAGCCCTTGCACTGGCTCCTGGGGAGCTCCCAGGTAGCTCTCACAGGTTGGGTTTGGGAGCGCTGGTGCCTGCAGACAGGGCCCGGTGGTTAAAGGAGCTTCTCCAGTGTCTAACCAAGAGTCAAACTCCTTGGGCAAAAGCTCCACACTGGAGCTTTTCTAACACAAACCTGGTGCCAAGTCTTCACAGAATTCGATTTCCCTCTTGTAAAACAAGGTATAAAACTAAGCTGATTTATGACCATCCTTCCGTTTTCAAAACAAATAGGTAGGAAGGAACCCACAAAGACTTTTTATGTTTCAGTGAAGTGACTGCCTAAATCTTTCTTATTCACGGCA